CTCCTCCCTCAGACCAGGGGTCCAGGCCCAGCCTCCTCCCTCAGACCAGGGCTCCAGGCCCAGCCTCCTCCCTCAGACCAGGGCTCCAAGCCCAGCCTTCTCCTCAGACCAGGGGTCCAGGCCCAGCCCTCAGCCCCGGGTTTTAGCCCCCGCCCCTCGGAGCGGCCGGGAGCTCACCTGCCTCTGGCAGCCCTCCACGATGATGAGCTTCTGCTGAGGGGAGGTGCGAGCAAAGACAATCTCCGTGTGGTTCTGCAGGATCTCGTCAATCTGCTCAGAGGTGAAGTCCTTGAGGTCGGTGCCATGGATCACACAGGCCTTGGCATCCCTGAGGAGAGCAGAAAGGACACGGCCCAGGCCAGGGTGAGGAGCAGGGGTGGGGGTGAGAGACAGAGAGGCGGAGGGCCACGACAAGGTCAGAGAGAGCCAGAAGTGAGGCACTTTGGGTGGAGTGGAGAAACGGGAAGGGACAGAGCCAGGCACAAGGGCAGGAAAACCAAACCTAAACATACAGGGGTGGGGGGAACAGAGTGAAGAAATGTGGGGCTTCCTTTAACCCTCTGAGAGAGCAACTGTTCATGATTATCTATACCCTGACCACTAGGTGGGGTGGCAAGGGCCTTTAATCCAGCCCTTGGGAGGTAGAGGCAGGCAGATGTCTGAGTCTGAGGCCAGTCTACATAATGAGTTCTAGGCCGGCCAGGGCTACACAGTGAGACTCTGTCCCAAAGAAATATTTACATTAACTGTCTGTAACCTGCCTTCACATACACCTTATTTTGGGTGGTGCTGGAGATAGAACTCAGGGCCTCTTATTACTGGGCAAGCACTCACCTCTGAGCTACACCCCACCCCTCACTGGGGGATTCTATGCAGGAGCTCTACCCCTGAGCCACACCCCAGCCCCTCACTGGGGGATTCTAGGCAGGGGCTCTACCACTGAGCACACCCCAGCCCCTCACTGGGGAGTCTAGGCAGGGGCTCTACCCCTGAGCCACACCCCACCCCTCACTGGGGGATTCTAGGCAGGGGCTCCACCACTGAGCCACACCCCAGCCCTCACTGGGGACTCTAGGCAGGGACTCTACCATTGAACCACACCCCAGCCCCTCACTGGGGGAGTCTAGGAAACCCTGTCTCTGAGCTACAGTCCTAGTCCTTGGTGCCTCGGGACAGGATCTTGCTGTGTAGTTCAGGCTGGCCTCCAGCGAATGGGGCTCCTCCTTCCCTTCTGAGTGCTGGGATTATAGGCGTGCACCACATAGCTGGCTTCACTTTACTTTGTATCTGTATTGCATGAGGCCTTTTTGAGGATCAAGCCCAAGGCCTCGTGCATTCTTTCACTTCCTGGTGCACATCATAAGCACTTCTTCACTGACCTCCATCCTTGCCTCTGTAGACATTTTTTTTTCTTTTTTTTTTTTTTTTTTTTTGGTGTTGTTTTTGTTTTTTTGAGAAAGGGTCTCACTGTGGAGACCAGACTTGCCTGGAACTCAAACAGATCTGCCTGCCTCTGTCTCCTGAGTGCTGGGATTAAAGGCGTGAGTCCCTGCACCCAGCTCCTTGCCAAGGAGGAGGAAACCGGGGCTCGAAAGGGTAGCTGACTCGCTTACGATTATGTGGCGCTGAGGAGCTATGAGGAGGGAGACTCAGCCCCGGGAACCCCGTGGCTGCCGCCCTCACACCGTGCCAATGATGCAGGCCCTGAGCAAGCAGAGGCGTCCCGGGGAGGAGGGGGGTCGCCGGAGGAGTAAATGTCCATGAGGGGCCTCCCGACAGCTGGCCCGGCAGGAGGAGGAGGCGTGGCCGCTCACCTGGGGTTGACCTGGCTGACGGGGATGTTCAGCCGGGCAGCGATGTCCTCGACCGTCTCATTGCCCTCCGAGATGATGCCCACGCCTTTGGCGATGGCCTTGGCAGTGATGGGGTGATCGCCGGTGACCATGATGACCTGTAGGCACTGTGTTTTAGGGATGCCCGGCTCCCGTACGCGCCCCCGACCCTGCGTGCGCCCGGTGCCCCAGGACACACCTTGATGCCCGCGCTGCGGCACTTGCCCACAGCGTCAGGGACGGCCGCCCGGGGAGGGTCGATCATGGACATGAGACCGACGAAGCAAAGGTTGTCTGTGGTGAAGTTCACGTCGTCACAGTCGAAGGCGAAGCCCTTGGGGAACTGCTCCTCCGGCAGGTAGTAGTGGCAGAAACCTGGCCATCGGGACGGAGAGGGGTCATGAAGGCGCCGGCCTCAGCACCCCCATGTCTGCCCCCCCCCCAGCTGCCTGGCTCCCCCGAGGTCAGTCTCCCCGCAAAGCCAGAAGCCACCCGGGAGCTGTTTCTCAGCAATGGCCTCATTCCTACGTTCATTTATCCACTCACTTCTTCACTCACGGGCATTCCCCACCCACAGGGTCCTTAGAGAGCGGTGCGTTCCTGCCCACTCCACAATACACACCCAGGACACGCTCGCCCAGGCCACCAAGCTCCAGGTAGGCGTTCTGGAAGGCCTCCTTCATCTCCTCATCCAGAGGCTGCTCCTTGCCCTGCAGGAGGATGGTGGCACAGCGGTCCAGAATGCGCTCGGGGGCACCCTTCATCACCAGCAGGTACCGGTTGTCATTGGGGTCCTCCGTCTCGTGGATGGAGAGCTGCAGCGGAGCAGGGC